CAAGAACTTGAGAATGGTTTCCTCTTAGTGTGTCTGTGTGTGTATACACACGAACCCACATACACACACACACACACACACAGAGGAAAAAAAGGAAAAGACTGCTGAAACTGACTACTGTATATTATTTAAATGAAAAATTGTGGGTTCAGTGAATCAATACATAAACAGAGGGAAGCCACAAGGGATCAGCAAAGATACACAACAATATAATACCTCAGCAGAGCCGTGGTTTGCAGGCAAGGCTGGGGGCCCGGGCTCTCTTCTCCTGTGCAGGAGCTTGGCCTGGGAAGCAACTGGAAATCCCGCAAAGCTGATGATGAACCTGTGTGTTTTGAGGGCTGTGGCCACCCTCCTTGGTAGAGGCCCTAGAGCAAGTGTATCCACTCCGCAGCCCAAGAATTGCATGCAACCCTGGACAGTTAGTACTGCAGCCCCACAAGATCATAAACTTTTAACATTATTATGTGCGTATTTTTTAATGATACTTTTCATGACCCAACTGCCCAGTGCTCAAGCACTGATTGTGTAAACACAGCACGCAGTAGAGGGGAGGGTGCGGTACACGTAGTCACAACCCACCTACATCAGACGTTACAAGAAGTTGTGAATTGGTGAGTAAAATGCGATGTTTACCAATAGGAATACTTCAACCTACTTACACATGTGTGTGCCTGTGAAGACGGGCACTTACTGGTATTAAGCAGACATGTAAGTTTTCTTATTTAATTATCAAGCTTGGGCTTGTTATTTCATAAAATTAAAATGTAAATAATAAAGGAGTGTGTGTGACTCATTACGTGAGCTGTTATATATTTTACATCCAGCCCAAGGCAATTCTTCATCCTTCCGTGCACCCCAGGCAAGCTGAATGGTTGGACGTCGTCGATGCCGTGGGACAGTGGTGACAAACCTATGGCACATGCGCTGCAGCCGCTGTTGGTTACCGTTGAGTGCTCTAAAAGGTTTGCCATTGCAAGAAGAATTCACCTGAGCAAATGTGCTCCCTGCTCATCCTGTCTGCAGCACAGGAGTGGAAACAACCAACATGGAAATACATTGCGATACCTTCAAATGACCGAAAACTGCACAGGACATAGGGGGATCATAGTCACTAAATATTGGTGGTTCCAGAGAGCACATTGGCCAAGCAATGGCCATGACTCTGACAAAGGTTCTACAATCTGAGGTACAGGATCTCAGGATAAATCCTGAGGGGATTTCACTGACTTTCTCAGACCCAAAAGCTACAACTCTTGTTGCATAGGTCCTGCTTTACCTTGGTCTTAACCATCCTGCAGAAAAGTATAA